CAATAATCACCACAATAACCACCACCACCTGAATGATCCTGCCCAAGCTGGCTCCTGCTGAGTGCAGCTCCAGCAGCCTCTGGAGCTCAGTTAAGGAGATTTTTGGNTGGGTGAGTGGGTGAGTGAGTGAGTGAGTGAGTGGGTGAGTGAGTGAGTGAGTGAGTGTGAGTGAGTGAGTGGGTGAGTGGGTGAGTGAGTGAGTGAGTGGGTGAGTGAGTGAGTGAGTGAGTGTGAGTGAGTGAGTGGGTGAGTGAGTGGGTGAGTGAGTGAGTGAGTGAGTGAGTGGGTGAGTGAGTGAGTGAGTGAGTGAGTGAATGGGACACACAGGAACTGGCAGGGACTGCAGCCCTGAGCAACAACTACAGCTCTGTGCCCCAACACCTCAGAATAACCCTGAATAATCACCCACAATAATCACCAATACCAGAATAATCACCAGCAATAATCACCAACACCTGAATAATCCTGAATAATCACCCACAGTAATCACCAACACCTGAATAACCCTGAATAATCACAACAATAATCACCAACACCTGAATAATCACCACAATAATCACAACAATAACCACCACCACCTGAATGATCCTGCCCAAGCTGGCTCCTGCTGAGTGCAGCTCCAGCAGCCTCTGGAGCTCAGTTAAGGAGATTTTTGGTGYTGGGCAGAGTGTGAACAKRGACTGAATTGATAGATAGGCTGTGYACAGATAATCCTATCCCAAAGGCTTTGCATTAAACTCCAGGTATAAAAATTTAATAGGACTCAAAGTATTTTTGTATTTTCCAGAAGTTGTATAAGCAGTGACAGGTATGTACTTCACAAACAGAAGTTGGCAAAATGAAACTCTAGAAAGGAGAGAAGAAATCTTCTGTGCTGGATTTGTTTTGTTCCAAGTGAATTAATTCCAGGACTGATCCCTCAGTGTGTTTATAGCAAAAAGACAAAAAGCTCCCCAAACTGGTGCTGTGAGAATGCAGCAGTGACAATATCTGAGCTTTCACAAGTGCAGGTGACAAACAGGCTGTTCATTCCAAAGGCCACAGCACGAGAAGGGCACTCAGGAGAAATGTAGATGGCCACGCTGTTTTCTGACACATTTGGGCACGAGAAAAAAGATTCCAGTGAGGTTTATGAAGTGCTGCTGGGGCTGAGCCTCAGTACCTGCAAGGTAAGCCCAGCCCTGCCCCAAATGATTGCTGCACGTCACCAATTTTAGACAGCACAAAGCTCAATTGATGGTGGTGACAATGTTTTTCAGGTTGCACAGCTTCAGTCATGCATGGGAAGTACTCCTTCTCCAAAAACAACATCTATTTGATTGTGTTCTATATCCTAGTGTACTAGAACTAATCTCCTAAAATATTCATGTAGCAAAGAAAAAGGGGAATAAAAAAAGAATAAAGTATGTGCAGTGTGTCAGAATTAATGTACCTAGTGGAACATTAACTTTTGTATATCTAAGGTTTTTTTAAACCTTGCTACCTTAATGGTGTTCTGATTTTTTACAGCAGCATTTTACAGTTAGTATTTTTCTTTTCTAAAGTAGAAAGATTAAAAAGGAACAAGGGGAGGAAGGGGAGGGGTAAGTGAAGGAAAATAAAGAGCATCAGGAACCACAGAGCTGGGTCCTTTGATTGGTAAATAAAGCTCATAAACACCTCGAATTAATAATTTCCTACATAGGATGAAATTCCAAACATGTAAGCAGAGAAAGCTGTGCAATAACTAGGAAAAAAACTCAAAAAAGACTTAATGAGATTTAACTGAATCATAGGCACAGCTGAGCCTTAGACAGTCCTAAATGARTTTCACCTTCACATGGCTGCTCCTCTAAATGAGTGTGCATGAAACATTAATACTTTGCGTGGAAAATCCCRTGTCTGGATTGTATTTGCAGTTCAAATATGGACTTCTGCTGCACATGTGCTGAACTCTGGGCTTAAAACAGGGCAATCTTTATTAAAACATGAACTTTAAAATTGTATGAGTCATTTGCMATGTTAAAGGCTTTTGAAAATCCARACTGSAAGAATGGTTTCAAAAATATTGAAATGGAATGCCTGACTCTATTCTGCCCCAAGTACAAATCACAGATGAAGCCTTTTATGCTCTGACTCAAAGAGAAACAATGAAAACACTTTTGGCAACAAAACAGCYGGGGAAAATTATATTTTGAACTGAAAAGTTTATAAAAATCGAGAGTCTGGGGGAAAAAAGAGAAAAAGAAAGGACGGTGGTTTGTGAAGAAGAGTTTTGGAAGTGTCGCTGGTTGTGTGCCAGTCCCTGCTGGGGAGGCTGAGGGGACACCCCGAGCACTGGATTCCATTGTCAATCCCCTGCAGAGCTCACACATCTCCCCACCCTGCACAGATGGATTTTCCTGAAGCCACCGGGGCKCTGGGGGACTTTTACAAATCCACCTGCACAGAGCCCATGGCAAGAGCTGTTCTGCTGGCAGCTCCCCAGTGCTGTGTGATTTATCTCAGAGCTGGGGAGGAACTCGAATCTTAGAGAAWGAAAATCCCAAAGCATCTTTGAGTCACAAAAATAAACTTGTATAAGTTGTTTTTAAGTTGTATCTTTTAAAGTGCATTTTTAAATTTAAATAGAACCTCAAGCTTTAGGCTATTCCTTCATTGTCTAACTGAAAAAAAATTCTTGCAGAATTAAATTGAATGCAGAAATAATAATGGCCAAGCATACAGAGATATGAGTCAATACAGAAAAAAAAACAAACCAAAAATTCCAGATGCTTCCCTGTCCCAGACTYCTCTGCAAACTTCACCACACACTGTTAGTCAAGGATATAGTGAAGTGTGTGCTCAGGTCACTGAAGTGAACRAGACATCTTGTCCTAAGTTTAATTAAAAGATTTCTTCGTTGAACTGTGTTGTACAMAGTTCTCATTTGTCCTGTGCTTGCTGTAATTACAAGCAGTCTCCTGTCAGGCCGCTCTGTGATTTCTCTCCACGTGTATTTTAATCTGTTCCAGGGCACAAGGCACAGGCAGGACATTCATCTCCTGACACAGCTTTCCCTCTGGCCCAGGTTCCATCTAAACAGAAATCTGATCATTTCTACAAAAATGTACCTTCAGCAAGCAGGGACTGTTTCCTTTAGTGCCTCTTGGCTTTTCTGTGATTGTACCACGGGCTGAATTCACTGAGGTGTTTTCAACACTGCATTTTGAGGGTGTGCTTCAATCCCACAGCTGCAGCTGAGGGTCTGTGCTGCTGTGGCAAATAGGATCAGGGATAAGGGATAAGGGTCAGGATCGGGGATAAGGGTCAGGATCAGGGATAAGGGTCAGGATCAGGGATAAGGGTCAGGATCAGGGATAAGGGTCAGGATTGGGGATAAGGGTCAGGATTGGGGATAAGGGTCAGGATCAGGGATAAGGGTCAGGATCAGGGATAAGGGTCAGGATCAGGGATA